TACTTTTCTTTTAATCTTCATATTCGCAATTGTAATTAATAATACAGGATTATATTTTATACTTGGTAACATAATTATAACATTACGAGTGATGTGAATTTGGAAATTAGCATCTCTCTTTTGAAATTATTACGACATACATGTATTGTATCTTAAAATTTCAATTAAATGCATAATAATGTTGATAATCAGCGAATCTGTTTGATTTTATTGCTTTATATTATACTTGGAATATTTATTATTATCCTGAGGCATTTTATGACTTATATCGAATTTAATTTGCGTGAGCAAATAAAAGGAAAAAAATGAATTTTTAAAAAGGGATTCTTAAAATTATTTCTCTACGATTTTGTTACGCAGAACAATTTAAAGCAATTGTGCATTTAAGGATTAAATCAATTTCCAAGCGAGAATCAGTGATTCTTCCAATTTTTCTAATATCATTAATTACTGTGTCTCTAAGGTTCGCGGACACAGTGGAGGATTGTTTCAACGTGATGCTTTTGGTTCAAATGCTCGGTTGCACTGTCCAGTTGTGTTTCCAATGTTTCCAAGCTATCATGGTAGCTATCAGCAAGAACCAACATGTCTTTTTCCACAGTCGTACGAAACATTTCAAAACGATACATAATTTTTAATCTAACTTGTAGTCATTTGGAGAGGAAGAAATGCAATACATGATTTTTCAACTCTCGTTCCTGATCATCTACGTAATTTGCGTGCTGGTGCAATTGTACTTATACTGCTACGTGGGTGAAACACTTACAGCGGAGGTACGTATATAAAAGCAACATTAACTAATGTTGAACGCCGGAATAGTTCACTTGCCGTTACAGTTTCTATTCCTTTTATTTTTTTACCATATGTCTCCTTGTTACACAACTTAGAAAATAATAAAATAATTGTACAGGAGTATTAGAAATAGAACATAACAAAATAACGCTAAAAGATAATAATAATTATTACAAAATCTTCATTATGACTCGCAATAACCCGGTATCCTTGCACAAACAACCGAGGATTAACCTATCAAGGATCAAGCATTGATACAGTAGAACTCAGTTAGTATAAGCTTTTTAAAATACTAATAATTTATACATATAATAGGAGTTGAATGGATTTAACTAATAAGAGTCTATTTAATTTAATAAAATTTAGTTCGGATAAACAGAGTTCTACTGTAATTCAATTTTTTACAGTAAGACTTCATTTAACCGGATATTGACTAAAATTTAATTTAAACGAATAGCTTTAGTTCTACTGTGCTTAGATTTTTTGAAATTCCATAAAGTAGAATTTGGGATCAAAATGGAGGAAATAATCGAAGCGATTAACTTTAAATTAAGTTTTATACGCGTAATGTCTATAAAAAAATTCGTCGATTGAAAAAGAATTGCAAGCGAAAAATTGCAGTAAAGCACCTCAATCGACCTTCATGGGTTAATCTATGGGATGCTCTTCTGGTAGAAAAATTTAGAAAATGACAGCTTCATCATAGCAATTTGGATATTTATGAAAGCAAGCAATTTTTTCAGAGCACAGAGATAGCCAACACAGCATATGAAATCGAATGGTATAATTTGTCCCCTAGAAGCGCAAGGTTGCTTATAATTATTATGTGCCGAGCTAGATCATCACCGTTAAAAATTACAGCGGGAAAATTTTGTTGCTTTACTACCATACTATACTGTCAGGCAAGGACAAATAATTTATATCGTAGAATAGAAATTTTCTTGTAATCCGTCGGTCGCAAATTCGGCTGCGGAGCGCTAATTTTTGTATAAAAATTATAGCAATATTCTTAAGACAGTTGTAGTATTAAGTAGTTGAACCGTTTAATAGGGAAGTGGTGTATGTCAATTTTTTAGTGTAGTCTATTTGATTTTTAACACCGAATTTTGAAAATTTAAGTCTTATTCTAATATTCTAGAAAACGTAGAATTAGTATAAGATATAACTTCACATACTATATTAGATTTTAACACTAAACTACTGATGATTAAAGCAGAAAATTTCCATCGAAAACATTAAAATAAAAATGATGCAATGAAGTATATACATAAACTTTTATTTATAGCTTTTCATTTAAATTTCTAAAAATACACTGTATTTTAGATCTATAAACTTTCAACAAAAACTCGTCATTTCGATAGTTGTAGTGTTAATAATTCAGGAATTCTTATACTTCGTATTTTATTATCCAAAAATTTTGTTGACTTACACCACTTTCGCATTTTATGAACATGTAATGAATAACCTTCTCATACGTTTCAGATTCTGAAAACCTCGGTGTCATATATATCTGTTCTATCCGCGACGAAAGATAAATAATGGAGATGATCCAATTATTCTCGAATATTTTGTAATTGTCTATTATACTTGGAAGAAATAGTATGAAAGGAATATTTCTTTGAACGATGTCTTAGAAGAGGAAGGAATAAAAAAACAAAGTGAAAAATTGAATACTATGGGAAGTAATAAAGCTGTTCTCAAGAACAAGTTCTCTTCGCCTAAGTTTAAGAAGATCATTTTTCTTTCCTTCTGCACTTGGATATTTTCCTACTTTTGTTTTTTCAATCCTCATCTGTATCTTTTGTCAATTTTTCTTGTGCAATATACATACATATTATAATACATAATATTTTAGACATTTTTGACAAAAAATGCTGTCAAAATTGCAAATAATATTGATTTTCAATTCCCCTGCTTTCTAATCATTACTTATCTAAATATACTTTCGCTTTCCAATTATTATTATAACGCAATTGTGAGTTCAAATTTGTAATTTAATTGTAAAATTGTAACAAGTGACAAACCTAACCAAAACAAATGATCATACAGTAGAACAAAACTAGAGAAAATAAGATTACGAAATTTGCTTACGTGAGAATAGAAATTCTGTGAATTTTGTGAATATAGAAATTTAGTCCGTTTATCATCACAATTTGCAAATTTAACTATTTATTGATTTTTTAAACTGTAAATATTAATTATTTGCCATTACATTAATTTGGTATCATATTAAATTGGTAAAACGATGATCAGATGAGGATTAAGAAACTTTGAATGCACATTGCAGCAATATTACACTCATTTGCAATCGATTATTTACGGACAACTAGCACATGCGCGATAATCAATGAATATTTAGTCGAATAGTCTACCATCCGTAACTGTTTTATTACAAACTGTTTTATTACAAATATTATTATACGATCATTTTGGTATTATTTTCGTTCTCTGCTACTTTTGCCATCTTAATAAGGGAAACTTTAACACCGACAATTTGTATTCTATCATTAGAATCAAGAATAACGAAATTTCTAACACAAATGCACCATTGCACTACTCAAGGAAATTACGTGAATATTTTTTAGAAACTCGACATTTACGGTGAAGAGTTGTAATTGAAATAACGATGAAAAATTGCAAATAATTTAAACAGATATAAAAAAAAATCATACAACGATCCATTTAGTCTCGTTTTAAAAGCTTCTGGTCAGATTGTTTCTTTGAAAGATGACTTCACATTCCGCAGCAAGTAGGAAAGAGAATGAGGATATTCTTTTCTCGAAAATGGTAAAATCGCACTGGCACATCGTGACGAGTTTGATAAAACAATTGAAAACATAAACTGTTCGAAGAAACGTATT